AAACTCAGCAATGTACCTCAACAAACTGTGTCTCATGGGCCAAATCTGGACCACTTTCTGTTTTTGTACTTTTGAAATAAATTTCTAGGCCCAAGATGGAGTTGCTTCTGTCAGTGGTGTCACAACAGCAAACTGAAAGTTAGATAATTTTCATGTCCCTGTAAATGCCCCACTTGACCAGAAGCACAGAATACCCACTCCATTCAAGATATCCCAAAATCCAAGCTAACTCCGAGCTCTCTGCCCAATTCCTTTCCCCTTATTCATTTTGTTTTTCTCTTCCTTGCATCTCACTCTTTACCCCAAAAAAGTTTCCTCTCTCCCATCCCATTTTGCAGTCCTCTGGACCCTTGAGAAGGAAGCCCTCTGCTTCACACAATGTTAAATGAAGTTTGTATCACCTAAATTGTCTTTAAACATTTTTAACAGTATACAAGAATGGTTTTTTATTCTTAAATGGTTGGAAAAAAAGTTGTATAAAAATAATCTTTTGTGACACATGGAAATCACATGAAATTCAAGTCTCTGTGTCCACTGATAGTTTTATTGGAACACAGTCACAAACATTATTTATTGTCTAGGGCTGATTTCATGCTACAACAGCAGAGGTAACCTGAAAATCCCAAGGTATTTACTAATCTTGCCCTTCACAGAAAGATTTGCCTACCCCTGTCTAAATAAAGGTTAACTTGGGGGAGGTTAAAATAAAAAACTAGAGGTATAGTTCTATAGCTTTGTGGGGTTTTCCTTTTTTTTTATACCTTAATCTTAATGTCCTTGAATGGGGAAAGATATAAAATTTTGTTAGCAAATTTTATACTTAATCCGCCTTGCAATTTTAACTCTTTGGTGTCTTTTAAATCTGCAACCTTTACAATCAACCAGCCAGCCAAACCCCACCCTAATAATGGTTCTACTTTACCTAATTCGTGCGGCCTCTTCTTGAGTCAGGGAAGTTTTTGCTCCTGCCCACCCTTTGTTTCTGAATTCTGACATTCTCCAGCCTTCAAATCTCAAGAGCAGAGTTTAGGGTATGGAGTCATAAACAGAAGGCATAGACTAGCTGGTGGTCACCCAGGTCATGTGCACCCTCCTTCAGTAATCATGCAGGAGGAAACACACATTAGCATCTCCTTCATCCTAAAAAGTGGCCAGATGTCATAATCCCTGTGTCACATGTATTTCTTCAAAAACAGTCTTGGGTACTAGCAAATATTACCTCCCTCAGATGTTATGTACCCATTTTGGACATGAGGACACTGAGGCCCAGACAGATTAAGTGGCTTTCCTAAAAAAGTCCCTCAACAAGGTTTCAAGAGTACAGTTCTCCTAGTCATCAGACCTGACATGCCAGCCAGATTCTGCTCTGATGTCTGGTGGGGCAGTGAGGAGCTTGCAAGGGATAGTGAGGTTAAAAGCACAGACCGAAAGAGGCAGCAGGCTACATGAAAGCTGCTGGGGGATAGCGGTAAGTCATGGGGGCTTTGGAGGAAGCAGCTTCCAGTCCCTTCCTGGCTGCTTTCTTGCCCTCACTAACACATGCCTTCTGTCCCCACTTGCTTCCCCTGTGCCCACTGTTGCAGCCAATTCAGGGCACTGCTGCCATAGAGAAGCCCTTACTAATGACTGGGGAAAAAGGAAATCTATTTTCTGGCTACCCAGGAACCCCAGCATGCTGAGCTGGTCTCTGGGGACACAATCAGGCAATTAAAAACCAAGGCCCAAATCTCAGAGCAAAACTGGGCAAAAGCTTAGATTCATACATTCACAAAATGGGCATTTGCATGGCAAGGGTATAAAGAGATACACAGCCAACAACAGCTGAACCAAGTAAGCAGAAAGGTAGAGACAAGAAAAGTGGAAGGGGGTGGGAAGATGGGTAACACTGTGGAATCAGGTTTATTGGAGAAATTTGACTGATTTGGGTCAGAGAGGGTTGCCTCAGCTCAGTAGAAAAGGAAGTTTCTGAAACTGTTGAAGTGAATGACTGTGGGGAGAAGAGTACAGCAAAAGCCAGACCCAAGCTAAACACCTCGCACACCTCCCTCTCCAACCTCGGAGGATCCGAGGCGGTAGTCACACTCACGAGGCGCGGGGCGGAGTATGCGCGGTCTGGGGTGGTAGGACCGCCCCAGTTCCGCTCCCAGGGAAGGTTGTATAATCCTAGAGCTGGTCAACCACGAGTTATTTTTCATTTGTCTTTAGGAAACAGGAAGAAAACACATGACTTTTCTTTCTTCGGCCATTTTCTATCATTTACAGTTCATGTCCTCATTACTTGATCCAACCTCGTGGGATTTGCTGGATCCCAGTGAGTAAGTGGCCACCATCTGAGGTGAATACATGGCCTATGAAGCCACCTAGGAACACCTACATCCATGAGGCTCCACAGAGGCCCCTGTTCTCACTGCTGACTTGTAAGATCAATCACAGGGAAAAAAAGAAGGCCAGGGAACAACAAGTCACATTATAGTTTTTAGTATTTCTTTCTTGAAGAAAGGAAATTTGTCAGGATGGGCCAAGGAATGACAGATTGTGACCTTTGCCTCTGTGTTTCTTTAGAGGAACAGAAGAGGTCCTGTTACATGTGGCAAGTCTCCAGTGAGAGAGGATGGGGGTAAAGCAGGGTGGCATCATTATCAGTCAGGGTCACTGAAATGACCCTCTTTCTCATTAGAGGACCTGAGCACAGAAACATTTTAATATTTTCTTCCCTTCGACTTGTAAACTTCGTGGAGCTGAGGTAAGCTGTGGAGGCAGCTCTGATGTTTAGAATTTATTATAATTCAGATAAGTGCTACTTGGTAATTGGGTAATTTCATATGTGGAAAAATGGGTTTGGGATGCAAAATAATAGTCTAAACTAGTAATAAAATAGGAAGTGTGAATGTGTCCAAATACCAGGTTTTATAAAACATTAGAAGTCATCATGAAAAAAAAACCATAATTGATATACAAATTACAGCACATTCTTATATAGTCATGAAACCAGTATCTACTAAATTCTACTTGTTATCCTGATTTGAATAACCATATATATGTAAAAGCAGTTAAACTACATTTATCTAAGAATATTGCATAATTGAGAATTTTCACCTAATCAGCCACCTCCCCCACTGCACACAATTACTTTGAAATAATGAAATTTTCCCTCACATAGGAAAGCCATTGTAATGAAAGGTTATGTATCTGGAAAGCACTTTCACATACCTCATCCCACTAACTCACAAAGCTGGCATCCACCAGTGGGGAAATAATGATTAGAAAACCCCAAGACCAAACCGGCGTTTCTGTTTAAAAGGAAAATGCTCAAGAGATGCCCCAACCCACGCTCCCCTCCACTGACTCCACTCCACACCCACGCCCAGGGCCAGCTGAGTTGTTGCATCTCATCTTTTGTCTACTCTCTTATCTCTGTGGAAAAGGAGATATTAAGGGGTAGAGGGCAAGAAGAGAGCATGGGTACAAAATGAGAGCAGAGGGGAAGGGTGGCGATCACACAACACGGAGAGCCCGCTCGGTAGGCAGCACGCAAAGACAAGCTACCTGCTTCAGTCAGATCCCAAGGCCTGCTCCAGCGGCTGTTACTCTGATTTCTGGCCATGCTTCACAAAGTTTGACCAAAGATTACAGCATAGATCTCATCCAGCAAGAATGGAAGGAAGCCCTCTTTTGACTTGAAATAGAATCATGAGAAAGAATTCTTTTTTCCATAAAGAAGTAGCTTCATTCCTTGCCATAGGCCTAGGGAGTTTTAGCTTCTAAGTTCTAAAGAGGAGGAGGGAGAGAGCCGCTGGGTGATCACAGTTATTGTGTATGTAGGGGTGTGTGTGTATGTGTATGTGTTGGAGGGTATATGTGGGGGGGAAGGCCTCACCATGGCCCTGTCTCCCCAGCAATTCAATCTGAATGAAGGAGCCCTAACATTCAAGGTTAGGGTATGGGGAGTTTCAAAAGAGCCAAAATTCCGAGGGCTTGGGGAATTCGGTGAATTTCCACCCCTGGAAACAGCCGTGGCCTTGGAGGTCAGCAGGGTAGGTGTTCTGTGAGGATGGGGAGGGAGAGGGAGTTTATTCTGATCAACTAACCAACATATAGAGAGCTCTGTGTTGGCTGGAGGAAAGCCAGCCGGCAGTGCTGGGTGGGCTCCTTTCCTGGGTAAGGAGGACCAGGGCCAGCAGCAGGGCGCCTCAGACACAAGGACCCGCAGGAATTCACTGGCAAAACCGAAGAGAGTACAGTGTCTTCAAACAAAAAGGTGCCAGCACTCAGTTCTGAGAGCTCCCCACTGCATAGGGTTCTAGGTTTATGTAAACACGTCCTCCACTTCCAAAAGACAAAGGGTTGGCAAGGTGATTGAAGTAATCAAAGTCTCGTTTTTAAACCCCAGACCATAATCCGAATCTTACTTTTCACAAAATCCCAAGGTGATCTGACAGACACTGCCCCCAGGCTCCCCACGGCCCCCCAGAAAGACACTATAACAGAAAGAGCTCAGACCATCTGTGAGACCCCCAACTATATGTCAGCCCACCAATGACCTCTCTGATTCCCCCAACCATTGTTCAGAGGGACTGATTTTACCTGAGCAACCCTGATTTGCAGGTGAACACTAACCCTGAAGAGCATTATTTTTTCTCCTATGATTGTAAGATGAGCCTGCTTTCTCAAAAAAAGAAAAGGGGGTTGGGTGTGAAGGCAACACATCATCTCGGTATGCAGTCTGTTTTGTGACCATGAAAGAAAACTGACCTCAAACTCCCTAAGGATGATGCAAAAATAAATCTTCTGCTGCCCTTCTGTACACAGCAACAGCCTGTCCCCCCAGTGAGAGCCTCTAACTTCCCAAGGGCTGAGAAAAGAGCAGCAGGGAAGGCTGAGGCAGCCCCATTCCAGGCTGTCCTTCTGCAGGGCACTGAGGAACCCCTGTCAAGCGGATCCTCGTGAGACAACTCAGCAATGCTTCTACATCTGTCCTTCTGAAGGGCCGTGGTACTCACGGAAGGTTCGGACGGTGTCGCTGGGCTGGCTGCGTGGACTGGGACCATGAGGATTCACAGCCCTCACAGCAAACTGGTAGTTGGTATCTGGATCGAGGCCCTTGATAACCATGGAGTCCATCTGGATCCACTCTTGGATTAAGGTCCAACTCTTGTCAAAATCTGGTCTGTATTGATTAAAAAACAAAACAAAAAGCAGTAGTTAAGGAACAGCAGAGGAAAGGGAAGCATGCCGGCTGTGTAAACTAACAGCATTTGAATTCTGTAAGCAGTACATAACAAAAATGAGTTAGCATTTCCTATCTAAAGGTCATCTTGATTTTAAATCATAGGTCATAATTTTTAAGTCCCTGCCAATAAAACAAGTAGATCATTTTTAGGGCCAGTTCTAAACGCTGTTTCAAGATCATCTGCTTTTCCTTGAGCAAAAAGATCCCCACATAGGAGTTTGTTTTGAAGGACTCTGCCTTCCTTCCAGATGTTTCGTAAACAAGCCTTCCCCTGACAGTCCCCATTCCCAGAGGTCAGGAGAGCAGAGATTCCATCTATTCACAATCTGTTCACAAAATAAACAGATATAAATTTTATAGGGTGACTAATTGCATGAATTGCCATGGGAAAACACAAAAAGATTCTGTTCATGGCCATTCATTCCTACTCTCAACAAAATTGTACAGCCTTGCCAACTTACTCAATTTTCACATGTCCTTCTAAGGACCCTATAGAGAATGCAGACCTTCACGTGGAGCTCCCATCTGGGAGGCAATATGTAGAGAGTAAGACTACAAACTCCAGAGTGGAACAGAGCCACCCAAATCCTGCCTTCACTACTTAGTAGCTGCCATTTAACTTCTTTAAGTCTCTATTTTCTCCTTTGTAAAATGTTAACAAAAGTACTTATCTAAGAGACCTGTCATAAAGATTAAATGAGATATATATCCTCGGCATAGTACCTGGCATCACTGTGCAAGCACTCAGCACATACTAGCCACTACTAACGGACTTACCCACATCACAGAGTTAGTAGGCAACCCTGGGCCTCTGCTTACTCAATACCTGTGTGCTCTGATGCAGTAGCACTAGCCTGTGCCAGTTAGTCTGCACTGAAATGTGCTATAAAGTATAAAATGGACACTGGATTTTAAAGAAAATAAAAAGAATGTAAAGTATTGCATTGAAATGGAATAGACTTATTTTGCTGAAAGAAGGGGCCTGGAAGATGCCAGGTTTCTCTAACATGTGCTTGCCTAGGTTTTCAATAGCAGGAATTGTTGAAAGCCAAGTGGAGTCCTTAAGCCCAGGGAAGGATGCTTCCTCAGGCCCACCGAGCAGACTGAGCGGTTTGTGGGCCCCTAGCTCATAAGAATTCACGCGTTTGTGAAGCAGAGGTCACAGGGCTTGCCCACTGGCAGGAGAAGGGCTCTTTTCTGTCTTGATTTCCTTTCCTTAAAGATGGACTTCTTATGTAAACTAATTTTGTCATCAAAGAGAAAAATCTCAGTGAGGGGAAGGAAACACATTTATGAACTCAAATTAGAACAAAATCACTTCACAGAGGAAAGCTGCAGAAGATACCTAAATGTAAAGTCAGAAATAGATGTGATCTTTAGACGAAACTCTCCTGTTATCCTTTGCTAAACTTCTCTTGTGGCATTTATAGAGGAAATGACCTGTAGCTGCTCTTGGAATGTGCCATGGTTTAACTGGGGCGACCTGCAAATACCTACAACAATGTTTAGGTAAAAATTACAACACTTTCCCCACAAACAGGAGATTATTTTGTATTTGCACACTTAATGCAGGAAAGAAAGCAGTGTGTCCAGCAAATAAGAGATTGAAATCATTAACATTTAATTTCCTTATATAGAATGAGACAGGAAAGCTCATGCAGATTGAATACCAGTGCAAAACCTTTAACATTTTGCCTCTGATTTTGTTATGGATTTTGCATATTTAAATGTTTTTAGAGTCTCTCGAGGTACAAAAGTGCAAAGGTGAGGTTGAGAGATAACCAGGTGAAAGTATTGTCTTAGATCATCCTCAAATAAGAGCTTTATCTTTTTCCACTAAAGAAAATCATTTTATCCTAACTAAAAAGTTGCCAGTCAAGTCACCATAGCAACACTAGCCTGCCAATTTCCCCAACAACAAAAAGGCATGAAAGGGAGAAGTAAACTAAGAATGTTCTGCCCTCCCAGGTAGATGGGCAGCCACCAGCTCAGTGGGCACTTCAAGCACTTTTCCAAACAGTGGGCTAGGGTTGGGTTGGGCAGCCTGCACCTTAGATTAGTGAAATACCTTTGAAAGGTGGTTTGTCAGAGGAGTTCAGGTGGGGCAGATAAAAGCAGTCAGCAGTGGTTACTCAAAACCCAGATAACTGATTGAAGTCATCAAGACTCACTCCCTGACTCATTTTCCTGGGAAGAGACATTGCCATTGACAATGTTAGAATCCAGCCTGATTATCAAGAATCTTAGAGATCATTTGGTCCAAGTGTCAGAGGGTTCTCAGAGATTGCATGCAAAATTTTACATGTGAAAATCATCTACCATTTTTCTAAGCAAGGTGTCCTTAGCTTTTTAGCAGATTCTCAGAGATAATAAAGATCTCAAAAGCTTTATGGGTCACTCATCTCATCTACTCTTCCATTCTTTCCATGTTGACACTGAAGAAAAATAATTTATCCAAGTCAGAATCACTAGCTGGTATAGCTTTCCATTTTATTCCCTTTCTTGTGGCATTTTGACCATCTTCCCTATTGCTAACTTCAACCTTAGTGGACATTTTTTCTTGCTACCATCAAACCCAGCAGGTGGCCGCCTTGGGCTAATCAATTGGCAGGTGATTAGTGGTTATCCATTGGGCATCCATTACAGAAGCTATATTCTGGGAGGCTCCAAGGAACTATATAAACAGTTCCATTCTCAGGGAGTTTATAATCTAATTGGGAGATGATGCATCCAAGGATGGAAAGGAAACCAGTGCAAAATAGTATATTTCAAGAGTTATATTTGAATGGGTCAATATGAACTAGAATGCTGGGGAAAGCATATGAGACCAGGAAGAACTTAGTAGACTTCAAATGGGTTTGAGTTTTGATAACTGAAAAGGAACAGACCATCTTTGGGTGGAGGAGAAACAAGCAACATCAACCCTGTATATGATCTGAGTAGGTTAAGCACGAACTACATGTAAAACATAGTATGGGATATCAAAAGAGGGTAAGTAATATGGGTCCCTGATATGATTAATTAACCTATATAAAAGATGCATATAGCATATAAAACCGCTAGCCATAAGTAGGTAAATGAATATATGGTGTATCTCTGCATATTACACATAGCTAAAGCTTTCCTCATCAATCTCTACTTAACCAACTTGTTAAAGTAACCAATGATCTTCACTAGTTCTCACTAATTCAGCTATTGGCTTATTAAGAGTTATTTGTGTTTTTTCCCAAATCTATTTATGACATTTGTTTGTTATTATAATTATGTAACTTAATATAATATTATATAAACTAGTAAAATATGAGTAAAAAATGTGATACCTATATTAAATGTTTTAAAAGACCTGATAAACCTAACCACTAAAACATAATTGTCTTTGAACTAAGTGAAAACAGAACAGCCATGAAAGATGGAGATTATAAAATTCTAGAAGGAATCTGCCATCAGGTAACTTTGCAAGTGATTTTAAGTTTTTAACTTGAAAAAAACTGTAAGTACTAACCACAGGGGTAAACCTTATAGGTGTGGCTAATGTCCATACTGCCCAAAGCAATCTACATATTCAATGCAATCCCTATCAAAATTCCAATGGTATTCTTCACAGAAATAGAAAAAATACTAGCAAACTAAATCCAACAGCACATTAAGGGATCATATACCATGATCAAGTGAGATTTATCCCTGGGATGCAAAGATGATTCAATGTATGCAAGACAACAAATGTGATATACCACATTACTAACAGAATGAAGGATAAAAAACAAATGATCATCTAAATAGATGCAGAAAAAGCATTTGACAAAATATACATCTTTTCTCAAAAACTCTCAACAAATTAGCTACAGAAGGAATTTACCTCAACATAGTAAAGGCCATATATGACAAAGTACAGCTAACATCATACTCAACAGTGAAAAGCTAAAAGCTTTTCCTCTTAAGTCAGGAACAAGGGTGCCCCCTCTCATTACTACTATGCAACATAGAACTAGAAGTCCTAGCCAGATCAATTAGGCAATAAAAAGAAACAAAAGGCAACCAAATTGGAAAGAAGGAAGTTACATTGTCTCTGAAACCACAAAGACTCCACCCAAAAACTATGAGAATTAATACATGAATTCAGTAAAGTTTCAGCATATAAAAAAAATCACAAAAATCAGTTGTATTTCTATAGACTAACAACTGTCCTAAAAAGAAATTAAGAAAATAAATTCCATTTACAGTAGCATCAAAAACAATAAAATACTTAGGAATGAATTTAACCAAGAAGACAAAATATCTGTATGCTGAAAACTTAAGACACTGATGCAAGAGACTGAAGAAGACACAAATAAATGGAAAGATATTCTGTGCTCATGGACTGGAAGCATTAATATTGTTAAAATGTCTGCATTACCCAAAGTGATCTACATATTCAACATAATCCCTATCAAAACTCTAATGGCTTTTCTCACAGAACTAGGAAAAAATATCCTAAGATTTGTGTAGAATCACAAAAAAAAAACAAATAACAATCTTGAAAAAGAAAAGAAAAGCAGGAAGTCTCATACTTACTGATTTCAAACTATAATACAAAGCTATATAGTTATATAAAAAAGCATAGAAACAGACACATAGACCAATGGAACAGAATGAAGAGCCCAGAAATAAATCCATGCATATGTAGTCAACTAATCTTTGACAAGGGCACCAAGAACACACAATGAGGAAAGGATGTCTCTTCAGTAAATGACAGGAAAAACTGGATATCCACACACAAAAGAATGAATCCGGACCCCTATCTTATACCACAAAAATTAACTCAAAATAGATTAGACTTATATGTAAAAACTAAAGTCACGAAACTCCTAAAAGAAACACAGAGGGAAAACTCTCCTTGACATTGGTCTTGGCAATGATTTTCAGAATCACCACCAAAAACACAGCCAGCCAAAACAAAC